CGCGCGTTCTGGCTGGTTGGGTTTTGGGGGGGCGCCCAGGGCGCTCCACCCGCTTCCCTCCCCATGTCCCTGCCCTCTGCATCTGGGCCTCAGAGCAATGGGGTCGGGGGAGAAAGGCGGGCTAGCGGCAGCCCCCTTGTTTGTTTCTGAAATGACGGGCAGCGCCTCCAGAGTTCCACGCGACCCCTGGTCCGGGAACGGGGTGCCGGCTCCCGCTTAGACGGCAGGAGCGCCCCGGGCCGCGCTCCCCGCGGAAAGGCGCTGGGGGCTGTGGTCGAGCTCCTCCTACTGGTCGCTTTGAGTAGTTCCGAGCCCGGCCTCGAACGCGGCTGCTTTTCTCCTGTTTGGTCTTCAGAAGGGCCCTGTGGGCGAGGTAGGTGCCCCAGGCGGGCGGAGCCGCAACCAATAAGGCAAGGTCTGTGCCAGTGGCGCAGTGGTTACGTGTCGGACTGTAATATGCAAGGTCGTCCGTTCAAAGCTATCAGCTGCTTCTCCAGAGAAAGACCCGGCTTTACTGCGTCTTTGGAACTCAGAGGTTCCACCCTGCCCTATAAGGTCACGATGATTCTGCATCGACTCGAAGGTGTGACAATTTTTTATACTCATCCCTAAGGGGTCACAATGAGTCAGGATCGATAGAATACTAAAAAACTGACTGCCACCGAGGTCATTCCGACTCATAGAGACCCTATAAGACAGTGTAGAACTGCCCCTGTGGGCTTCTGAGACTAACTTTTTGCGGGGGAAAAGGCAGTGGCTTTGTGTAGATTTGGCCTTTGGAGAAGGCAGGATGAGCTGGTGGGAGGGGGGCACGCTTTCAGGCCGCAGATTTGGAAAGCTCCTGTAGGGTGATGAGGGCGGGGCGGGGTAGGGGGTGTTCTAGACACCACGGGTCCTTTAAAACGACACAGGAGTCAGCTGGGGGGCCTTGCGCTCCCATAATGGTGTAAGGAGAAAGGAAGGGGTGACCCCATAAATAGAAGACTTAGGGGGACATTTCGAAAGTGGGAATGGAAGCATGCTTTGACGAGGCACGAGACCCTTTATAGAAATAACCCTGTGGTCTGTTTCCTGGCCTTCAAGTAAGATGCTGATCCACAAGCTTGCATTGTAAGTCGGCCTTCCCACCAGGAGAGGTAGCCTTCTGCCAAGACTTGGTCCTGGTTTCTCTACCGGGGATCATGCTCAACAAGGAAAGAGAGAATGGAGACCCCGGGGGCACAGAGGATAACAACCATGTTTATTGTAACGAAAAGGTCTCAGAAAGTTCGTGGGAAAATGGAATGAAAAGATGGATTTTTCCCCAACAAATGTTGGAAGCCCCCGTGCCTACCCTCTGTCTTTCCCCCTAGTATGTGTTAGCATATGCTACTTCAGAAAGATGTGTTTGTCCTGTACAACTCTTTAGAGATCTCTTTTGCTTCACATGATCAAAACTCAGACCAAGTATCTTTCAAGGAACATGTTTGGACTGCAATCGCATAGGCAAACCGTAATATACCTAGTCTTCCACTGTTTGGTCCAGAAACCTACGTGCATGGATGGCAATGCTTTAGGGCAAAATGTTGGGCATTACTGGCAATACGACATACATAAAGTGCCTAGGTAATGCACATGGTTTCTGTTCGATGCTGTGGCAGTGATATGATCTCCTGTCAACTTTTGAAGGGGTGGAGTCTAGCCTGTCAATCAGGGCATGTCCTTCTCCTGAGGATTCTGGGAACGCCTGTATTCTTCCCTGGAGGTGGGAGACACTCCCTGCTTCGTCTTCCTGCTGACAAGCCACATGGAGCTACACTGATGTAGCCAGAGCCCTGGAACTGGAAGAGCCATGTGGAGACCCACGCCAGCACTGAGGTGCTTCCACCGCCACTGGACCCACAAGACTTTCCACCCACTCACCTGTGATCTTCCTGCATTTGGCATCATTGCATGGCTGCATGAGTCTAAAGAGGAATTTGTGGACCAGTATTGACACATGGGGTAATATTGGACTTGATCTGGACTGGGCTGGAATGTTTGCTTAATGTACAATTACTTTTTAATATAAAGTTCTCTCTTACACACGAGTGTCTATGAGTATGTTTCTCTAGTCTACCCAGACTAACACAGATGTGAACGTCAAGGCTGGTGGTGTGCACCCGCCCAGGGGTGCTTCCATAGAGAAGGCCTGGTGAGTACAGTCATGATCAACCCACAGGTTCACTATGTGCTGGAATCCACTGGCAGGTAACCATTGCCACCAAACGAGAACGTGTTCCATCTTTTGACTCCTGGTGCAGGTTGCTCTCTTACATTCTAGAAAGGTTGTACGCGTCCCACACACTGTTGCAAAGCGCTTAAATGACTGAGGGAGCTCCGTGTGCAGTTGATTCGGAGCTTGTAACCACTGCCTCCTGCTGCAGATGTGTTATAACACAGCAGGTAACCTCTCTGAGGTCAGCAGGATGGGGACACATCGGCCGCCCCATGCCAAGTGCGTGACACCCTTTCCATTGCCATGAACTGCTCAGTCAAGGGGCCAGCACCTCTTTGTATGCCTGCGTCAATGACCACCCAGATCAACGAGCTTTTGGGACCCCTTCTGTGGTTTGGGTTGTTTCTGTACAGATTAGCTTCTCTTTGGGTCACTGTGCCTTTTTGTTTTCTAGATCAAAAACCTCAATCACGGTTTTGCCAAACTGAAGGCGCTTGTGCCCTTTCTCCCACAAAGCAGGAAGCCCAGCAAAGTCGACATCCTTAAAGGTGCCACTGAATACATCCAAGCGCTTGGTGACATTTTGAAAGAAGCCAAAGACTCTGAGGTAAAGGTTTAAGACCTTTGAACCATGGCCCGCAATTTGTTGAGCCTTTCTGCACACCAGGCATTTGATGAGCATTTTCCCATGCACTTTGCAGTTAAGGTTTATAACGCCCCTCCCTGAGCTATTAGTGATTCTGATTTTGTGGAGGATGAAATCGAGGCAAAGCACACACACAGCTGTGGGGGTTGGGGTTCGAATCCAGGTCTGGCTGAGTCATGTTGCTTTGATGTTCCTAACCACCTATACGCTGCCGAGTAAGCACATTTAACAGCATCTAGATCCCAGCTGGCATAGTGAGGGGTTCTGGTGGCATAATGGTTGCTTGCTGGGCTGATAACCATACGGTCAGAAGTTCAAAGCCACCAGTTGCTCTGTGGGAGAAAGATGGAGATTTGTAATCCTGGAAAGAGTTACAATCTTGGAAACCCACAGAGGGCAGTTCTATCTAAAGACCCAGAGCTCCTAGCTGCTGGGTCTTTAGTAGGACCCTGACATGAGGGGGTTGTTTCCCTTCAGAGGGACACACATGAGACAGGACTCAGAAAGGAAGAGGCATTCCTTTCTCTAAGGGACTCTAAATGGTCCCAAGGGGGCCCCTTTTCTACTGCAGTGTTCAGGAGTCTCGGTAATACCAGTTTCACAGTGTTTTGTGACCCTGCGGGGGCAGTGTAAATGAACCTGCTTTGTACACTGAAGCACCATCGCATCACCGCCATCATCAGGGTGGCGGTGCCCAGAAGTGTGTGGTAGGCAATGGAAGGTGTGTTCTGGCATTTAACGGGCTCATTCCACGGTGAGGTAAACATTGAAGGCATGAAGATGCACCATGACCAGAGGAGATAGGATGTTAAAAGGTAAGAGTAAGGCCCTTAGAAATGGGTCTTCTGGGACACCTGTTGGCAGGAGGCAGTGGAGAGAGAGGGGGTCATAATGCCAAGGAGGGGGAGTCCCAGGTATCTGAGGGTGGAAAGTAACGTGAGAAGCTACAGAGAGGGTGAGAAAGGCCAGGAGGAGGAGGGAAACAGCATTTGAAAGCTGGAGGTCAACTTGTAGCAGGTTAAGGGAGCCTTCTTATATAAAGATGTGGAGTCCACTCAGAAGGCATTGGTGAGCGTGAAGTCCTGAGAAAGGAAAGGGGGATTGAACGGATGCAAGGAAGGATCTGCATCAAGCAAAGATATTTAGTAAGTCTCGATCTGATCGTGTTTAAGGGCAGAAGAGAAGGAGAGATGAGGAGAGGAACAGAACCAGTCTAGGAATTCAGGGCAAACACAGCCATGTATGTATTGGTGCGGGCTAATTAATTTTTTCCCTTGTACTTGTCCATGAGGCCCAGTCAGGAGACTGCTGGGAGGATACATTCTACACAGGAGGATTGGCCAAATTAGACAGTTGAGTTGTGTGGCATGGCTATAGCCTTAGTTTTTCCTTGGGTGTTATTTGTAGAGTGGATGTGCTTTTCCCATCTCTTGCTCTGCATTCATTTTAAAGCCTAAGATCTGTCCCATGCTATAATCCTATGAATGCAGCATCCCACTGCAGAACATCTAAAGGTAAAGGTTTATTGCATAGTACTTTTCTCTTTATGACTTGAACACTGCCCTTATCACCTGAACGAAATATCATCAATGAAAACTTTGAAATATATTGAGATCTTCGTAGTTCAACTGCTGTGCTGCCTGACAAATAAAATATGATTTCTAGGAACAGGCCCCAGCGGATCAGAAGTACAGCAACGATGCTCCGGAACCATATGTGCCCTTGGTTAGACAGCCCTCTGGAACCCGACATGCCAAATGTGCCTTCGGCTTGAAGAAGGAGGAGGAAGGGCCCTGGCCAGACGGTGGCAGTAGTGAGGCGCCATATACCTGTCACCAGAGCATGATGGCTGTTACTGGAGTTCTCTCCCCGAGTAGGAATCTGGTAAATTATTCTTTCTATAATATCGAGTACTGTGGGGCGTGACACTTTCAATGCTAAAACATGGTTAAAGCAAGACACAAGGGTACATGAAAAAATACCGCCGTGGGGGTCCCAGCTCCTCCGTGAGCTTATTCCACACTAAAGGCGCAGACCTGTTTCCGATCAGTGGGTAACCGCAGACAAGTTCTCTCAGTGAGAGATCTGTCTTGCTCTCATCAGGGTGGCTCAGAGAAATGCTGATGAAAATAGTGGCTTTTCATGGGATGCATTCAAGGCCCAGAGGTCCGCTCAGAAGGTCTAGTGACTGTTTATTGGAATTCTAACAGAGTAATCTTCTAGAGGTTCCCAAAGGACGCAGGGCAATCCTGGCCTGATTATGAAGGAGTTTTAGGAAACTGGAAAACTGCCTTGGTGAGGGAAGACGCCAGGCCGAGGAATTTTTTTCTTCTTCCTGTCACGACAGTGGATCTGTTTATTTTTCAAAGGTTGCAAGGGTCGTCCCAGGATGATTCCACTGGAAACCTTACCCCGTCCACCCTGCAGTCCTGACCTTGCCCTTCCGATGTTCTCTTTACTCCCCAAACTCAAAGAACATTTCAAAGGAGCACGGCCCAAGTCTCTCAAGGTTGCCCACACTGTCGCTTAGACGTGGTGTGAGCAGAAGGGCACACGGTTCTCCCGGGCAAGGGTTAGAGAGAGAGAAACACTTGTTTCAGAAGTCCCTAGATCTGGATGGGGGGGTGAGGGGGGTATGTTGAGAACCGATCTCTTTACATTTTGATATTTATTTTCAATAATGTTTTCTCTGATTTTATAGCAACCCTTTCTGCCTTCCCCTTGTAATTTCGTGGTAGCATCCGGGTGGGGAGGTGGAGCTTGCTAGTGTAGAAATCTGTTACTTCTATTCTTATATTTCCAGATCAGTTGGCAAGGTGTTCGCGTGGAGAGTAAACTCCCCAGAATCATCCCATACAGACTTGAGCTTGTGTTTTAATGACTCTAATGAACACATTGAAAGATTTTCTAGACTCTGTAGACAAGTGGGAAGATCAAAGGCAGCTTGCCATATACGCACTGATACAGGGGGTGGCAGCAGTGGTGGTGCTGTTTGGAAGGCAGCATGATTACTTTATTTTTCCAAATAACCACAAAGGAGTTTATTGTAGCAGAGCTTATTTGCCAAACTGACGAGGCAGCCGGAAGAGCAGCATGCTGCTCTCAGTCTGAAAGATTGGACTTCCTGCCCTCACGGTGGCTCGGTGGCACACAGGCAAGCCTCCAGGCTCCTGCTGTGTACCACCCTGCCACCTGCTTGCCATTGAAATGGGCTTGTAGGAATGGGAACCAGAGGAGGAGGAAAGCCCTAGGGAGTCATTGATGATCGTTGGTGGGAGGAGAATTTGAAGAGCAGCAGCTTTGGTGCAGGACTAAGCCAAAAACCCAAACCCAATGCCGTCAAGTCCACGTAGAGTCTCCACAGGACAGAGAGTTGCCCCACCGAGTTTTCCAGGCTGCAGTCTTCAGGGAAGCAGACGGTCTCATCTTCCTCTTGAGAAGCAGCTGATGGGTTCAAACCACCGACCTTTCAGTTCCTCTCCGAGCACGTTGATCTCCTTAGGATAGAACTAATACCGTTCAAACCCTCGTTAATACCACTGGTTAGCTGTGTGACCTTGGGTGAGCTACTTAATCTCTCTCATCCTCAGTTTTCCCCATTTGCCACATGAACACGGTGACTGTACCCACCTTGCACATGAGATACCTCTGAGTTTCAAATACCTTCCTGTCAGCAAATTGTCCAGCATGGTATCTGGCATGTCAACATTCCCTGGAACACATAGGTATTGTGACATTTGCTTGACTGGACATGAGCAGTCAGTATTGACTAGTGAGCTGTCAATCACTTCAGCTTTACGTGCAGCGATTGCTTTGAATTTCCTCTCTCGGCTCCCACCCATGCTCCGCTCTGGGGTGATGTCTTCAAGTTTCCTGCTGACTGTGGTCTTGACCCCCATTTCTGATTGGATGATTGTTTTCTAAGGCTCCCACTGTGCCCAGGGTAGATTTTCACATCTTGGCCAGTTGGGCCAGAAGCCCTCTTTAACGGGTCACCCTTAGCATGCAGCTGACGTGATCCCATGTCGGTTCTGACCACACAGAAAGAGTGAAGATCAGACTGGAGATGGACCTGGAGCCTTGCCTGTGTGAATTAATAATAATATTTCTACAAATGTTCACATTCAGATATACGAGAGAAGAAGACCAGCGTCTTATAGCACTCAGTCCTCACCATTCCTTATCAGGTAAATATCACAATGACGTTCTTGTGAGCTCGACACAAGAGATAGCTCACAACACAATGCGATGACTTTGCTTTCCTGCCAGTCCTCTTGGCCCTTAGTTGCGCGAGGACCTAAACAGAAGCACAGCAGGCCTGCTCTGTGCAGCAGCGGCAGCTTGGGCACCTGGGGCCCTTGTTTCCAAAGCTTCTTGACCTTTGCAATAGGCCATTTGTAGAACATCCATTCACATGGGGACAGAAATGTCTTAGTGGAAAACAAAGGTCCTGAGCCGAACATGCTTTTTAAAAGGAAACAAGACACCCTTCATCTTTCATCGTTTACCTAACCCTGTTGAAGTGGTTAACTGGTAAAGTTTGCAAATTGACTGGATGGCAGTGTTTGGATGCAAATTTTTGGAATGAACAGAGACGAATGGAGCACTTGATACTTGTACCTAAATCTGTAGCTCCATCAAGCAGCCTTGACTTCATGCTTGACTTCCGAGGCCTGACCAGAAGGAAGAGGACCATTTTTTAAGGGAAACATTCAGTTTTCATCACCCTTCTCAAGGATTGCTCAGCCTTTGACATTTTCATTCATCTTTGTGAGGATGTTTTCCCCTGAAGCAATAATGAACACACAAAAGTCGCCAATACTGTACACAGAACTTTTTTTCCTGACTCACTTGAGAGAGAGAGTGGCTGGCCTGATACCCCACCATCCCTAACTAATTTTGTGTGTGTCTTGATAGGCGGGGCACCCCCCATACATAATCACTAGCCATCAGAATTAGAGCTACATGGCTGTGTTACTACTATCCTCTAACCCTCAGACCCCCTTCAAGTCCAGTGTTTGTCTCATCTTCTTAATGCCCTTTGTAGACAGAGGATCCAGTGGAGAATCATGATTTACATTCAGTTATGGCCTTGACACTTGACACTTGATAATGATGGTCAGTTATTCTTGGGCTTGGTCATCTGCTTCCTCCCAGTAAGGTTCAGGTATGGATGGTTGGCAGGGGCATCGGAGAAGCGATGTCCTTGGCTGCATCTTATGAAGTGGTACATGGTTCTGATCCGTTCCAGTTACTAGCAATAGTCTCTTGTTTGAAGTGGTGCTTCCAGTGTTCTCCGGTTTGCACATGCTTTTGGGGGTACCTAGTATGTGTTTTGCAGAGGTGCATGAGACTAAGTATCCGGTACTCATCAAACACTTTATTGAACTTTCTAATGTGGGGTCATTCTAGATTTATGGACCGTTGCAAAGGCAGTACCGAGAGGTTTCCTGTGCTCTTCACCCAGGATCCCTCAATGCTTGCGTCTTTCACAGTATTAAACCCACTAGACAAGTAATATTGATACTGTGTGTGTATGTATGTGTGTCGTTCCCTGTCATTTTATCGTGTAGATTCCTGGAATCACCGCTGAAGTTAGGTCACTACAAAGAGACTCCCCCACCCCACCCCTGCTCCCTAGCGCTTGGCACCTTGTTCTCCATCTCTATCCTTGTTATTTCAAGAAAACGGTATAAATGGAACCAGACTGTACGAGGCCTTAAGAGATTGGCTTGCTTCCACTCATGATGCAGGGTACCCTTGAGACCATCCACATGGTTGTTTATCGGTAGTCTGTTTTCCTTTTATTGCTGAATACAATTCCATGGTAGGAATGAACGGACCACATGGTAATGAGTCACACCTGTTTGTTTCTGTATTCATCTGTTTGTATGTTAGTACAGCATCATAGTTTTCCATTTAATTCAGCACGTTGTTAGATCTTCATATGATGCCATCTCGTCGGGTGCTAAAATTGTCCTCAGGGTGGTCCGTGAAAGCCTCTAAACTGGCTGCCCTTCTGTTGGATGCGTGACTTTCCATCTTTGATCACCTTCTTCCTGACGGGCACATTCCAGGGTTATCTCATTCGCTCCTCAGCTCCAGTTTTGGAGTCGGCTGTTTTGTCTGAGCACTTGCCCTATATAGGAGCCCTGGTCTGTCTCCACGGGCTGTCACTTCCCTGGGTGGCCATTATCAGCCCTCCTGACCTCTAACACCCACGGTCATCTTGCCTCTCCCCAAGAACACCATTCTTGGCCCTCCTGGCACTGACCCTCCACCCCCAGCCCCTTTCCTCACTCAGCCCCAGGTTTGGTTCATGGACGCTGGTCTGACTGCTCGGACTTGTCCACCGCACACTGATGGCCTCTTTTCCTGGCCTGGTGTGGACTCTGATTGCCCAGCTGGACTATCCTTCCATGAAGGGTGCTCTAACTCTTTCCACTGGGCACCCTCCTCTGCAAACCACCCTTGCCCTATCCTGCTTGGGTTCTTCCATGAGCCACTGCAGGCCTCACCCTGGTTAGAACCCCCCATACCTTTTGCAGAGAGACCAGGCCTCTCCCAACCTTATTGTACCCAACTAATGGCTTTGGAGCTGAATCGCTCTGGCAGGGGAGGTGATTTTTCCTTTGAAGTACCCACTTTAACTGCCTTTCTGGCTAGTTTTCCTCCAAGAGCTTTCACATTGAGACGCTAATTTGCGTATGGCTGAAGAATTACCTTCTTTTAAAAATCAATTTTGCAAAGCTTGCATTTTACACTCAGGAGCCAGGCTGGTGCCTAAGACAGAGAGTCTGAGAGAAGAGCTGCTTGGGCGGACCCTTTCTTGGAGGAAAGGATCCTCCTCCTCTGGGTCAGCCCAGCTTACCCCGCAGGGTGAC